TTTTTTTTTGGTATTTTTTGCAGAGACAGGGTTTTGCCATGTTGCCCAGGCTGGTCTCAAATACCTGAGATCAAGTTATCTGCCCTGCCTTGGTCTCCCAAAGTGCTGGGATTACAAGCATGATCCACCACGCCTGGGTTTATTTTTAAATATGATGCTTATTTAAGCTAATATTCATTTTCCTGCCTTTGAGAACCTTGGACTTACCTTTACAAAGTAGAGCCTTTTCCAAAAACTTTTGTATACTCTTTAAATACCATATAATAGCTAAACGATAGCTGTTGAGGTATAAAACTTTGCAGGTTTTCTCTTGGAAATGGTTTATTTCAGGAATATAAGGCTAATATTGCCAATTTTATATTTAAGTTATCAAAATACATATTGGAGCTTTATTATAAATATTTGAAATTACATTTTTTTATTGATGTGGGGAATAAATGAACTATTTCTGGTCAATTATTTATTCTGGATAATCAAGATTGCTTATCTATACCATAGTTTGGAAGACTTAGATATTTCCCACAGGCTAGTTCCTATACGCTCTTAAAAGGGAATCTTCATTTGTACTGTATTAGAAGAAAACCCACAACTTGCTTTACTTGCCACATGAGATGGCAGTCTCGCATCTTAAATTAGGGGAAGGCAGCCATACAAGTTGATGGAAACTCAGATTTTCAGAATTTTTGTTGCCAAAAACCTAAACTTTGGTAATCTTCAACTTGGAAGCAAGCTGTTTTTAAGGTTTATTTGTAAGTCAACTCTTTGTTGCTTGGAATAGATTTTCCATGGAACAATGCCAAAAATGATGGGCATTGTTTTTAAAATTAGTCTACAGAAACTTTTTAAGTCTCAGTTTTTCCCTCCACTTATTTTAAATTTTACCTCATACACTTTATTTTTACTGTTTTTACAATTGTGATGTAAATTTGCGGATCACCAAACTTACCGTTTTAACTACTTTAGAGTTCTGTAGTATCTCACTATTGTTAATGCAATAATAATGACTATTTCCAAAATTTTCATCACCCAAACAGAAGCTATGTACCTGTTAAGCAATAACTCTCCCCACATTATCTGATAATCCCTAATTTACTTTCTGTCTCTTTGAATTTCCCTGTTCTAGATATTTCATAGAAGTGAAGGCGAGGTGTGGTGAGCTCAGGAGTTTGAGATCAGCCTGGGCAACATGGTGAACCCAATCGCTACTAAAAATCCAAAAAATTAATCAGGCGTGGTGGTGTGCACCTGTAATCCCAGCTACTGGAGGCTGAAGCAGGAGAATTGCTTGAACCTGGGAGGCAGAGCTTGCAGTGAGCCGAGATCACGCCATTGCACTCCAGCCTGGACAACAGAGCAAGACTCTTGTCTCAAAAAAACCAAACCAAACCAAACACATAAAAGTGGGCCGGGCACGGTAACTCATTCCTATAATCCCAGCACTTTGGGAGGCCCAGGTGGGCGGATCACGAGGTCAGGAGATTGAGACCATCTGGCCAACATGGTGAAACTCTGTCTTTACTAAAAATACAAAAATTAGCAGGGTGTGGTGATGGGCACCTGTAGTCCCAGCTACCCAGGAGGCTAAGGCAGTAGAATCGCTTGAACCTGGGAGGCAGGGGTTGCAATGAGCCGAAGTTGCACCATTGCACTTCAGCCCGGGCGACTGAGTGAGACTCTGTCTCAAAAAAAAAAAAAAAAGTAGAATCATACATCCTAGCACTTTGGGAAGCTGAGGTGGGAGGATTGCTTGAGGCCAGGAGTTTGAGACTAGCCTGGGCAACCTAGTGAGAGTTTGTCTCTACCAAAAAACAAAAACAAAAAAAATTAGCTAGATGTGGTGGAGCAACCCTGTAGTCCCAGCTACTTCTGAGGCTGAGGTGGGAGGATTGCCCGAGCCCACGAGGCCAAGGCTGCAGTGAGCCATGATTGTGCCACTGCACTCCAGCCTGGGAGACACAGTGAGACCGTGTCTCAAAAAAGAAATAAGTGGAATCATACAGTAGTTTTCCTTCTTTGTCTAGCTTTTCTCACTTAGCATCAGAACTTGATTCCTTTTTCTGACTGAAGGACATTCCATTGTATATATGTACTGTGTTTTATTTATCCATTCTTTTGATGGACATTTGGTTTGCTTCCTCCCTTGTAGCTCCTGTAAATAATGTTGCTGTGAACACTGATATAGAAGTATCTGTTAGTCCCTCCTACGCCTTTTTGTAAAGTTGCTTTAATTCCTTTTTGAAACAAGGGGGAGCAGAAATAAGTGTTCACTCATAATGTCTGTTCTGGGTTGTAGAAACAGTGGACTTAGATAGATAGTGTTGGGGGAGAAGAGGTGTAGAGATGTTCCCTTTCTCATTCTTGAACTGACGTCTAGGCCTGGGTATAACAGGCCTTTCTGCACACGTTCTCCATCACCATTGACTCTGGCTTGCTTTCCTGTCTCTTCTTCTTATCCCTTTCTACTCTCAAGCTCCTTACACCTTTTCACCCCATCCAGAAATCTCAGAACAGATACACTTGGTGATGTGCGAAGAAATACAAGAATTTTTTTTTAAAAAGCATTCTCAATCTCAAGATAACTCTTCTAACTGGAAAAAAAGAAAAGCATTCTCGCTAACATAAATGAATTGCACTCTAGTGATTGGGATTCCACCCAGATCATCATAAATGATCTAAAGAGAAAGATATTTTAGTGCAAAGGATTGTGAAATAGGTTGGTCTTACCTGGGGCCAGTTTCCTGCTTTTTACAGCTATTTTCTGCTTTAGAATTATATGTCATCTAAAAGCACCAACATTTTTTTTTAAATTGTACTTTAGGTTCTGGGGTACATGTGCAGATCTTGCAGGATTGTTGCATAGGTACATATATGGCAATGTGGTTTGCTGCCTCCATCCTCCTGTCACCTGTATCTGGCATTTCTCCCCATGTTATCCCTCCCCAACCTCCCCACCCCTGTTGTCCATCCCCTAGCCCCCTGCAACAGACCCCAGTGTGGGATGCTCACCTCCCTGTGTCCATGTGTTCTCATTGTTCAACACCGACCTGTGAGTGAGAACATGTGGTGTTTGATTTTTCTGGTCCCATGTCAGTTTGCTGAGAATGATGGTTTCCAGATTCATCCATGTCTCTACAAAGGATAGGAACTCATCATTTTTTATGGCTGCATAGTATTCCATGGTGTAGATGTGCCACATTTTCCTTGTCTAGTCCATCATTGATGGGAATTTGGGTTGGTTCCAGGTTTTTGCTATTGTAAACAGAAGCACCAACATTTTTAGAACATGACTCCCACTAGTAGTGAATATCCTAGCAATGGAGTGGCTTTGGGCAGGGGAAGGACTTTTGTGTAGAAGGACTTTTTATGAGCCAAGGGCCACCTCTCTGGATCTAGTATTTAATGAACAGTGAATTGGGAAACATAAAGTATTTATTTATTTTTTGAGAAATGGTCTTGCTCTGTCACCCATGCTCTGTCTTCTGGCTCACTGCAACCTCTGCCTCCTAGGCTCAAGCAATCCTTCCTTCTCAGCCTCCCAAGTAGCTGGGAACTTAGGCGTGCAACACAATACCCAGCTAATTTTCTTTTCTTTTTTTTTCTGTAGAGAAGGAGCCTTGCCATGTTGTCCAGGCTGGTCTCAAACTTCCTAGCTCAAGCAATCCACCCAACTTGGCCTCCCAATGTGCTGGGATTAGAGGTGTGAGCCACCACAGTATGGAATAAAATGCCACCCCATATAGTTTTATCATTTATATTAAAATGGACATCTACCACATCTACCTACTTTGAAATTCACCTGTGCCACTTACATCTGTTTCATTCCTGGGACTTTCCAAATATATTTTCTTATTAAATCTTTTTTTTTTTTTTTTTTTTTTGAGACTTTCGGTGGTATCTTATTTACCTTGCTCCCAGTTT